TTTGTGTCAGCTCTATGCTGCACTCATATACAGTAGTCCAGCTAATCGTCGCAAGGATTTTGCAAACCTTTGCCGGAAAGGCCCAAGGCTTGTTGCTTTTGAATTTCGGGTCTATGCCGTTTGCAGCTTGCTCTGTTTATGGTGCTGAAGGCATCATTACAGACATTGATGGAGCTGGAGGTTGAGGGTTTGGACGAATTGGAGAAATGTATACTTATGTTCAACAGCCAGAGTATACATGCGAACTACGGCTGTCTGAACGACCTCCGAGAGACGCATAATGGTTCCGACGTTCCGGATCTTCCTGCTTGCTAGAACAAATTCGTGACTGTGAGGACCATGTCACCAAATCAAACTTGAACATACCATTATCAATTGTCTGCTCTCGAGATTCAGAAGTATTTCTCTTCCTATATGGAACTCCCATCTTTGCATGTGCTAAGCACAACAACAATAACAACACATAAACATAACTTAGTTTAACCTCAACTTCACGAACTCCAACTGTTACTCACTTGCACCCTGCCCTACAAACGACCCCTGCACAATCGCCGCGCCACTCGACGACTCGCCAAACACAACTTCAGACACAATCGCATTCTCCTCAACGACCGCCCCGCAACCAACACAGAAACCGTTGCCTCCCGCTGCATCGTATTCTATGTGATCGTTCCACCACAGTCACCACACACCGTCTGTTCGAATTCATTTCAGCATTGTCATTCACAAGTAAAAGAAGCTTTGAGGGAAGTATACCATTTTCAGTCAATAAAAATTTAATAAAGATAAGCTGGGGTATCTGAGAGAACAGAGGGAGAAGGAGATGTGATAAAGTCGGTGTATGCGTGGGAAACACCTAACGCATTTTGATTCAGCTGCCACTTCGCCAAACTTTAACATTAACTCGTCCCTTTCCTTCTACTACACAAAAAGAACACTATTAACGTTTTTTGAGGATTAACGTTGGCCCCTGATGGCCCACCAGTCAAGACTAACAAAGGCAAAAACAAGCTCGAGTAATAAACGCGAACGGTAGTTTTTTCTCTCAGTTCTCACCGTTCCGAAGTAACTTGCTTACGTTGACGAACCAGTCTTCAATCGATTTCGGCTGCATCCGCTGCAAAATACTTCAAAAGCCTCGCGTGGAAGTTCATAGATCGATATCGCTACCAGTGTACCGTTAAAAATTGCTCTGGGGTGGTGTTTTTGCGATGTTTCTCGTAAACATCCATCTTTGGCTTCTCAGTGAAGCCCACTGAAACAATGAACGTTCAATCCATTCATTCGTAAGTCCACTTTCCATTCGCATCCTAGTTGAACACGTTAATAAGGATTTAGGATGAGCGTGGCAGCGTGCTAGAGCTCTTCAAGTCATCCTCTCTGCCACTATTCAAGGGCGACCCCACCTCGTTCTTGTCTCTGACTGGTCCAAAACCAGCGCTAGCCGATTGCGTACTTGACGAAAAATCGGAATTCTGCAAACCTGGTAACTTGCTGAGCTGTTGTGCAAGACCTTCCATCCGGTTGGATCTTAAACTCGGTTCCATGATTCACCATGTGGTAGGCTTCAGTGATTTCGCGAAATCGCCTTGTCGGTGAGCGACGTCAGCAACAGGATTAGCATATTATCGTACTGAATTCATTTTATCAGTTCGAATGCTTATGAGTTTCCAATAATTTTCGCATTCATCGTGACCGTAGCCTGCTTCGGTAGTGAAGAGTTCCCTTGCGGCATTGAAACAAAGCGAGTCCATCTGTGAGTGGCATTTCATTCCCTATCCCGGTAGTGTGTTTATTAAATATGAATAGAAGAGTGCACACCAGATGTTTTTGACCAATCTCCTCACCTTCTGCGGAAGTGTACGGATCTTCTCAATTGGGGAATTTGTGCGATGGCTGAGACTCTCTACTGTTGCCTCGTGCATAATCTTGGTCGTCGTTTCTGAAGGGCACTTCGACCAACCGGATTATGAGGAAGCTTGACTGATCTCGAAATATCAGCAAGCCAAAAGCTGACGCCGAATTGGGCATCGCTTTTATATAATTACATGGAGAAGGATGCCATTGGCCGTACAGGAAGTGCGAAACAGAAAGAAAACAAAAGAGGAAACAAGAGATACAAATACAGAAACGAGTACAAGTACAGAGCAGGTGGAGGACAAGAACTGCTGGTGGAAAGTCGAGGAAGGACTTTGGGGTGCAGTCGCGGAAAGCAGAGACAAACGTGCCGAAAGTGATGAAGGGCTATCGCCGACGTTGTTGTGCAGACGCCTGGCAATCGTTCAACTCGCCATTGCATCGGAGGATACTGTCGAGTTGCTGATATGCACCTCGGAAGACTCGGATAAATTGCGGATAGTGTTGGAGAGGCATTATCTAGCATGGAGCAGACGCTCTGCTGACGATGGTCGATTTCGAAGTCCACGGACGCGTCACCGGCACCGGACTAACAAGAAGACAGACACAATAAGCCAGGAGGACGAGCAGGCCGACTTTGTGGTTCGTTACCGTAATCGAGGTGTGGAATGATCTCTTGATCGTACGCATTTTCCTCTGGACGGCTGTCGAGATGAACGATAAAAATACGAGACCTCTAGGCTTGGTTGGATACGTTCGTGACGCTCAAGGCTGTATGGAACCGCTTCTTTTGGTGACATCCATACGAACTATCTAGCGCTGTCTGTCTCCTCATCACTCTGGGGAGTTGACAATCGTGATACGGAGTGTGATGGAGGAAGAGATGGAGGGCTGGGAGCCCTGGACCTTCTTCCGTCACCAGGGATGAAGGAATCCGAAACATATTCACCAATCTCGTCCTCGTCCTCACCCTCATCCAGAACGTCCATCAATTCGTCCGGTGGCTCCGCTTCCTCCATCGTTCCCGGAAGAACGATCACAAGGGATCTATCAAACGATTGGACGTCCACTGATTGGGCCCGTGGCGTTCCTACGGGCGTTGAGCCGACCGATTCGTTTCTATCCCTATGGGACCCGTCACGTCCAGTCGTCAGCTCTGGCGTACTCCGGTTACTGTCAAATCGGAATGTGTCCTCGGTTGCCAGTTCATATTCTGGCATCAGCAGACTCCAATCCCGAGGCGGAGGAGTATCCCAGAGGAAATCCTCCTCTTCATCTTCTGTTTTTATGAGAGTGAAGTCTACCTCATTTTCTAGTGTATCCTCTAAAGTCGGTCGTTCTGATGCACGATCTGGAGATGGCGACCTCGTCGTCCTGTTTCCCTCGTCGCTTCCCTCGTTTGCGGGATCTGCGGGGGAGACGATGCTGCGCGATCGCAGCTGACGGACGTTGGTTGCACCAATCATGTTGTCCAACGACATTGAACGTGCGTTGGATAGCCCCGCAACGGCCTCCTCACTAATACGCCGCCTCTTCATTCGCCTTGCCTCGTCTTCTTCGCCATCGACGCCCTCGATTGGGCGCTTGCCGCCTACCCGGACAGCACGACCCTGGGCAGTCGCCCTTCTAGTTTTTCTGCGGGTCCACCCATGCCCGCGCTTCTTGCGAGCTTTCGGCCTGGGAGGGAGTGGGAAGGAAGCATTCGGAAGGTCTGGACTTATGTCAGCTCAATGCTGCATTTATGTATGGTGGTCTAACTTACCTTCACGAGAATTTTGCGGACTTACGGTGGAAGATCCCGAGGCCTGTGGCTGGCTATCAAGGACCTCGGCTGGAATAGATATTTCAATGAGGAACTTTGAACTGGAATGAAGAGGGAGACTTACCATTTCTTTTACGTTTCTTTTCGACGACATGCGCAGCTTGCTGTGTCTGCGTGTTGGAGGACGTCGATCCTGTCAAGGAGGACTGGTCCTCTCTAGTAATGACTGCTTGTTGAGCACCGTCGCTAACTGTGCCAGTGCTAAAGGCATTGCCATGGATGTTGGCGGAGCCTTCAGCTTCGTTGCTAAAGACGACGGTGCTCTCGCTTCTGGTTGTCCGTACATTGCGCGAATGTCTCGCATATGTCAACGATGTCCCATTGCTGGTTTCTCCAGTACTAGTGGCCTGTATGTTCGCACGTTGTCTTTGCATCGCGCGAGTGAGAACCATCGTGTTCTATTGTATATGTGACACACTGACGGGTGAAGTCGTTCCGAGGAATGGTTGTTGTATGTGGGAAGTGGGGGTGTGCGGAGAGTGGGGGGGTGTGCGCTGAGTTGGTTGACTTTGACAGCCACGCTCTTTATATGCTTTCACGATATGGTCTGAGCGCCATCAAGACACATCAGTACAAATCTAACCATCTTCGTTATCCATTGTCTTCTAGGCCTAATCATCGCTTATTTTTCAATGGCGGTTATTCCCGAGGCCACGATCGGTGAATATTGAAGGAAATGTAGTGCAATTTTTTGACATGCATAGTCTGGTTATATTTTTCTTTTCTTCTTCTCTTGGACTGCCTCGTGCTTTACCCTGATCCTTTGGAGAAGAATGGAAGGAAGGGGGGTGGGGTGGGGGAGTTACGGATTGATGGATTGGATTATCTGCAGTTTGCATGACTCTTGTTCTTTCGTAGCCGAACTGTCGAGTCTGAGGTATGCTTCTGGTCAGGAGATACTGTCGTAAGATCTGGACCTTGAACAATACAATTGTACTTCTCCCTCTTTTGACTCCTCGAACGATCTAGGGTTATGGCGCCGAGGACTCGTACGGCAACTATTTGTTTTGGCTTTATCCATAGATTTTTCTTTAGTTAGAAAGTACTTCCGTTTGACGTTGAGGAGTCTGTCAGCAATTGCTTGTGAATGGCATGGAAGTCCCTTGATGCCTTCTCTTAATCTGGGCACTCCTGACTCATTGTCCAAAAGGAATAAGGATCTTGTACACGGACTAAGCGCAACGCTTGAGCCTCGTGTTTTGACATTCAATATATTCCTTTTTCAACAGTGAAAAATAAGAAACTCCCGGTTCATCCTCTGTCTTTGACTCATTCCCCTCTTTTTACTGCTAAGAAATTTATGCCAACAGGCGAATAACGATCTACTGGAAGGGGAAACTGGACAGGAAAGCGGGATCAGTGCACCAAACGGATATCGCGCTCATTCTATATTTAGAAGTTCACTTTTGGTGGCTCAAAAGCGTGGGAAGAGAAGTTGCTTCCTCATGCTTCGTATCGATTTTTACGCTGTGGTATGTTGAACAGTGATAAGTATATCAGATATTTTATGTTTCGTATACACTGCTAGAAATATTTATGTGGGGAGTAATTGCCTGTTTGCCCTTATTTCATCTCCCCTCAAAGTAATTACTGCCTTTTTCATAAGTATTGTCACACTTGATGATTCATCATTTTTTGTCACAAAAGTAAACAAAACAAAAAATAGCTGTTTCTCACTCAATT